CACCTCATAGGCAGCTCCCTGAGGAGAGATGGCTATCTCCTTCCTCTAATCTTATGCATTTTTGCCTGTCTTAGGTTGTGTCACCTCTGATCAAGCCTTGCCCATCATTGGATCATGCACCTGGCCGTGTGCATGTCCTGTCTTAGGAGTACTTGTCATGGGACATCTTACCCATCTTTGGCTAAAAATGCGTCATGATTAAGGGCAGCCGCGTGGGTAACACCAGCCCATGACAGTCTTAGTCTCTGCCTAACTCGGGAGCCAAGCGTGGCCAACCGGAGGGGGTCCTGGGGAAGTCCATAATCATGAGGGTAATGGGATCCTTCCATCTTGCCTGTACCTCAGGTCTCTGCTCCTGTCATCCCCAATGCTTCTGAAACCGGGATTCCAACTGATTCTTTTGAAAATTAAGAACGTTAATAGTGAATAAGGCCATACACAATTGTTGGTGGGGGCTTATTCCCCCTTTTTGTTTTTGTAATTGAATTTTTAGGTTTTGATGGTTGCGTTCTACAATGGCTTGCCCTTGGGGATTGTAGGGAATTCCTGTATTGTGTTGAATTTCCCAAAGTGAAAAGAAATCTTGTAAATTTTTACTCACAAAACGTGGTCCATTGTCAGTTTTAATTCTTTGGGGCAATCCCAATGTAGCAAAGCACTGGAGAAAATGAGACTGAGCATGTTTAGACTTCTCTCCTGTATGAGTGGTAGCACAACAAGCATGTGAGAATGTGTCAATGGACACAAAAATATACTTAAGCTTTCCAAAAGGAGCATCTGTTTGCCACAAGGAACTGGGCTTGAGTCCCCTAGGTTTTATCCCTGGCTGTTGCAGAGGCAGTACCTGTAAGCCATCTTGTCTGCCTCTGCATTGCCTTGGGATAAAAGCCCAGGCAATCCTTGGTGCCCCCTAAGATGCTGTAAGAAGATAGAGGCTTTTCTCTCTTTAAGGGCTTTTCTCTCTTTAGGGAGTCTAAATACTGTCAGAAAGCAATGGCCATGAGTTCCTTGAATTGAGCTGCTTTTTGGTTTCTCCACATCTGCCCCAGTCAGTGAAAACATTGTAGGCTTTACTAAGGGCTTCCTCGACCCAGGATTTGGCGAATGCTGCTGTCAGTGGGGCTGTAGCACTTGGGGGCAGGGTGGTTCCCTGGCCACCCATGGGACTGAAGGGGCGGGGCCACCTTCCCCCAGGCCTTTTCAGCTGTCCCAGAGCCGGTTGCGGAGCACTGCCAATTGTGGTTTTCTTTGTTTTTTGCTTTTGGGGTGTTTTTTTGTTTTTTTGGTTTTTTTTAATGCGCCTGGCAGCCGCGGGCTCTGATCGCTGGCCAGGGGGTGGTACCACCACCCGGCTTTCACGCGAGCCCCTGACCCATACCAGTCACGGGGGGGCAATGCCCACCCAGCTTTCCCGCGGCCCCTGACCCACTCACGCATTAGTTCAAGGCGGGTGGGGTGGGTGGCTTTTGCTGCTCCACCCCACCCTTCTGCCTGGGAGGTTCTGAAGCTGGCCAGGGCACGCCCGAGGTGCCATTTGTTACTTTGGCCGCTTTTGGTTTTATATCTGTTGTATTTTTCCTTCTTCCTCAAACCCTTCCCATGATTCCCATGTATCTCCAGTAAAAACATTAGCCCCAAGTAGCCAGGGAGCCAAATGAATTGCCTCTGCCCAAACCTTTTGAGCTACAGGGTCTGACAGATCCAATCCCCTGCTTTTAAGCATATCTCTCAGCCCTTTAAGCACTGGGTCTTCAAACTTAAAAATTGTGTTACCCATATTTAGGGTCTTGCTTACCCTGAACATCCTTGATTTGCCCCCAATCCGTTTTTGCTCATTTTCCTTCTTTCTTTCTTCTTTCTTTTCTTCTTTTCACCTTCCTTCGAGTGCCATGCTGGGCGCCAGTTGCCGGGGGTTTGAACCAGTGACCCCCCCAGTGCAGTGATGATTGGGGATGAGTAAGCACGCCATTCACCAGCCCACGCCGCTCCCAATACCTGGGGACACTCAGACGCAACGGGGAGTCTAGTCAGGCAAGGACTCATTTATTGCAGGTGTTACAGAGCTTATAAAGGGACCTGGAAATCCGACCTCCCCACCGAGGGTGTATCTTAAGAATGATCATGCACTCCTCAGCAGTGCAGAAGTATTCTTCAGACTTTCAAAGCAAGCCAGGCCGCGCCCCCAGTAACTTCCTTTCAGACCTATGCAAGGTGGAGCCTTTAGGTCCCCACAAGTTGGGCCTGTGACCTCCCCAGGCATGGGTTATTGGTCAGGTTTACTGTAAGACACATGGATTTCCTCCTGTTGAGTGGACCTTCAATCCAATCAGATGGCACTTGGTTAGCCCCATAGCATTCATGTCACTGTTGCACAGATGGACACACCTTGCCTATCAGGTCGCTGTTGCAGTGTGTAGGGTTCACAGCTGAGTTGGGCCATTAATGCCTTTTCTGTCCCAGCAGCCTACATAGCACCTTCTGGTACTTGGAAAGGTTAGCTAGCAAGGAAGAAGTTTCCAGCTCGCTTTCACTTTGCTTTTTCTATACCTTGCAACCAAGATGTGTGATGTCTTCAGCAATAGGACCTCATCGTGTAGTTCTGGTGGGAAAATTAGAGGACTGGCAAAGCCTGTGTTGTTTTAGGGGCCTCTGGGGCCCCCTAATCAACAACTCAGCAGATCCTTTGGTAAGGATTCTGCAACCTTCTATGTATTTTTTTTAACAAATGTTTTCTTTGACAATGTCATACATGTATATAATGCATGCTGATTACTATCAACACCTTCTATGTATTTTTTTTTAACAAATGTTTTCTTTGACAATGTCATACATGTATATAATGCATGCTGATTACTATCAACCCCACCCATTCTTGTCTCCCTCTCATCTCTGTATACCCCACCCCTTTCTCTATAAATCTATTCTAGAAACATCAAACTGAAGATCCCTAGGGCCCAGCTGAAAGAAAGGGGGTCAAATTGCTGCCGAAAGAAAATGTAAATGCCTAGAGACCCGAGACTGAGTGTGGGCCTCAGAAAGAGGCTTTGCATCCTTACTGGCCCAAGAGTTCAAGGAAAACAAAGGCCACAAAGGGCAGAGAGAAGGCAGAAATAGAATGAGAATGCATCAGTGTTAACCATAACCAGCAGTCAGTGGGGCATGCGCATCTAGACACTGGAAACCAGGTCTAAGTTGCCTCAGCCTGAATCCTCTTCCAGTCTAAGCACAGGGGTACTTGTTCTACTCTTGGCCCTGATAGTTTTGTAGCATTGCCCAACTCAAAGAAACTTCCTGGAGTGCCATGCTATTGACAGGAAAGGAAAGGAAAGATAAAGTCCTCAGCCTGCCAAGAATGAGTCTGGAATGTCATCAGCCACCCACTGTTGCCTCTTCTACCTCGTCACTCTCCCAGCCACAAAGCGCCTGTGGTCGTGGTGGCATTCCCAGGGCCTGTATGTATGAGTCTACAACTCAGAAAGTAACCAACTATTTCAAGTTAGAGTTTAGTTTTATCCTTTTATGCATGTTTAGATTCTCTTTTAATTATAAAAAATTTTATTCTTCAGAATGTAAAACAACAATTTGCCTCAACATGTGTTGAAATCCACAAAAGTATGAAAGATTTGAGCACAAAATACCTTGAAGAAACCAGAAGGCATTACTATATCACTCCCAGCAGCTACTTGCTGTTCTTGGAAACATTTACACACATCTTGAGGTCCAGAGAAGAAGAGATGCAAATGAAGAGGTAAGACTTTGAGACCGAAATAGAAACATGGATCTTTACTTTGGTGTTTTTGCTTATTTTATTATAAAAATAGACACATACACAAAATGGTGAACTCACATCTCCCCTTTTGTGGGGAGCATGGGGCAGATACTACAGCACATCTTTAAAAAGACAAGTATGCTTTTCCTTCCGTGTAAGCATCCAGAGGATGCCCCAAGGTAAGGCCAACAGATCTGTCAGAGAGAAATGAACCCTTGTTAGATTCAGCTTATTCCTTACATAGGAAGGAAGGCAGGTGCAGACAGTGTCTCCTTACACAGACAATGGCTAGAGGCACCACTCCTGTGCCTTAGAATGACACCAAAAGAAAGGGGACCTGGTGACTGCCACACAGATGGGCCACCCTAGTGCTGAGGAGCACCCGCACTACACTGCCACCAGTCACTGTGTTGGTGGCAGCCATGTCTGAGAACTTGAGGAGACACAAGGTAGGGAGCCTCAGACAGAATCAGAATCTCTTTTTTGTGAGTTTTCTTTTTTTAGAATATCTTTTATTCTTTTACATTTTCATCCATGTATACAATGTATCTTGATCATATCTCCAACCTCTCCCTCTCACCTCCCCCACACTGTCCTCCTCCTACTTCATGTCCTCTCCTTTTTTTATATATAATCCACTGAGTCCAATTAGCACTGCCTGCTGAAGTGACGACTGATCTTGCTGACTTGATCCTGTGCAGAAAACCATGGATGGCCTTGGGTTCATGAGCACAATGGCTATATGAGGTCCAGAAAACATTTCACAGCACTCCTCCCCATCCTCTTTTACATTCTTTCTGCCTGCTTTTTACTTTTTTATGGTGCTTGGGATGGAACTCAGGTTTTAAGAATTCTAGCAAGCACTCCACCACTAAATTACAATCCCAGCCCCCCATACCTAATTAGAACCTGAGAGACACTGGGGTGTCTCAGGACAACCTCCTAGGAAGATAGTGAGTAGATAGGAACCAGCCTTGAACATCTGCTCACAAGTATCCCAGATTATCATGTACCAGGAGGATCAAGGGAGCTTTGCCAAGAGTGAAATCAGTTGTTGTTAAGCTTTGCCTAGACAGCCTACATAGAGGCATGAAAGGTTTTGAAGGCTTCATAATAGAACCATTTCTCTACAAGTCCATCCCAGACCTGTTGCATATGCAGCTAACAATTCCTTATTAAAATAGTAATAATAAGTCACTTTGCCATATACCCTTGGACCTGACCATTCTGACTATCCTAGGGAATACTGAATGAGAATAGCTATGAGTATGACTCTCATTTAGAGGAGAGACCAGTAAGGCTCCTTATCTAGAGCCAAGTGAGTTAAAAATGACACTCATCAGGTGCATCAAGACATATGGACAATTGGACATATGCTGGTCCCACTGTCCAGTAGGGCGTACAGGTAAACATGATGCTTCATCACTACTCACACTGAAGAGTTTAGTCTGTGTGTGCAGAGCCTGAACAAGCCTGATGTTTAACTGAAGTAGCAGTCTTGATAGCATTTTGCTAAAGTGGGTTCAGGGTCAAATTTCATTAACTTTTTGCATTTCAGTCAGATGAACATGATAGAGTCAGTATTATTTCCGTGTAGAGCAGTTGAGATAGTCTAAATACAGTGAGGCTGAAGAAGACACGTTAGAGTTCAGTAGTGAATTTTTCTGTCTTCTAGGAGGTTCCCATTAGATTAACATCTCTGTTGCTAGCCAGGTGTGGTGGTGCATACCTTTAATCCCAGAGCTCGGGAGGCAGAGGTAGGTGGAACTCTGGGAGATCGAGGCCAGCCTGGTCTACATAGCAGGTTCCAGATCAGCTGGGGTTTCAGGGAGACCCTGTCTCAAAAAAGGAAAAAAAATAAAAGATTTCTGTTGCTTAGCAGTTAAATTGAGGGTGACGAGAACAGCCTAGGTAAAGAGCCTAGATTCCCTACAGACAAGAGTCAAGAGAGGTTAATGGACCTTCCACTTCTAAATCTAGGACCTGTGGTAACCCCTTTCCTTCCCAAGATGGTTGCTCTGCATTCATAATCATGCCGTTGGTATGACTGAGCCCTGTCACACATTCTTGCCTTCCTCAGATTTAGCTTCACATCTCCTGAAGTGGCTCAGTAGTGCATTCCTTCCACACTTCATACAGTCCTAGAACATACCAGGACCACCTTAAGAGTTGCCACCTTAACTAACCATTTCTAGCAAGTACAGCTAGATAGCAAAAGATGACAAGACCAGCCCTGCTCTTTGCTCTTGGTAAATCCCCACATCCCAGCTTCAAAGTGGAAAGAGACCACATAATTAAAGATTCTCTTTTCATTGGAATTACCCTTCTGGGGATGAACAGATTTAAAGGGCAAATTGCCTGTCTTAGGTGTGAGTACTGCTAGGTGTGAGCCTCAAATCTGCTTGCTTTCCAGCTTTTCCTTAGAGTTCACTTTTTTAGGGGGAGGGGCATTTGAGACAGTCTCATGTAGCTCAGGGTGTCCCCAAACTCACTGTGTAGCCAAAAGAGGTTCATTTTATTTACTTTTTTCATTTTATGTGTATGCATGTGTTGCCTGCATGTAGGTCAGTGCACCCTTGTCGTGCAGTGCTCACGGAGGTCAGAAGAGGCTGTTGGATCCCCCGAGAATGGAGTTACGGACAGTTGTTAGCTGCCATGTGAGTGCTGGGATTCGAACCCGGGTCTTTTGCGAGAACAACCAGTGTTCTTAACCACTGAGCCATCTCTCCAGCCCGTGGTCCATTTTATTTTTAATGGCCCCTGTTCCTTAACAAGTTGAGGAAAATTCTTCTGATTTTGTTTTCATCATGAATTTTGTCATTTTTTTTCATTTTCAATTAATGTAGTTCCCGACTTTCAAATCTTGAATCAGTCTTGCATCCCGGAAATAAACCCCACTTGATCATGATATATAGTTATTTTTATATACTATCAAATTATATTTGCTAATATTCTGTGGTATTTCTTAGCCTTCTTCATTCAGGTCGAGCATCCCTTGTCTGAAATCTACTTGCAGCACAGACATAGAGCATTCAAAAAGCTTGAGACTTTGGAACACTTCAGATTAGGAATGCTCAGCCAGAATATTCCAAAACTCAAAGGCTCCCAAATCTGACATACTCCTGATCCTAGGCATTTCTGATAAGGGGGTGGAGGGCTTAGCTTGTGCTCCTTCCCCTTCAGGAATCGTTTCTACATGGGTCTCTCCAAGATACTGGAAGCGACTGCACTCGTGACAGACATGCAAGAAGAGCTCTTGATAATCAGCCCTCAAATAGAGCAAAAAACAAAGGATTTTTCTGTCTTAAATCTCTTTTAAAGACTCTCATAGTCTAATACAAAAGACTGATACCTGACAAAGGTGAATTAAAATTCCAAATTAACTACCATGTAGCTGTGCAACTATGAAGAAATTGAATTTTAATGATTAAATATGGTCCTAGGTATATAGCTAACTGTAGAAACTTATTCAAAAGTGTCTCTAGGTAATTAGTTAAATGTATCTAAAATATGCTATGGCAATCTCCAGGCTGTCGAGTTTTGGGGTTTTTTTTTTTTTTTTTTTGTCTTTTTGAGACAAGGTCTCCCTGTAGCCCCAGCTGTCCTGGAACTCACTCTGTAGACCAGGCTGGCCTTGAACTCACAGAGATCCACCTGCCTCTGCCTCCCAAGTGCTGGGATTAAAGACGTGTGCCACCACGCCCAGTGGCTGTCAAGTATTTTAAAAATCATCACTGCATGTGTGCGTGTGTGTGTGTGTGTGTGTGTGTGTGTGTGTGTGTGTCTCACTGGAGATTAAACCTAAGACTTCACACAAGCATCCTACCACTGAAGTACAACCCCAACCCTTATCACCTTTCTGCATGAAATCATATTTACAGTAGTCATGCCAATTACTCTGTTAACTATATTTCAGGCTAATTTTGACAAATTTTATAGTAATTAAATGAAGCATTTAAATTTTTCCTTTAAAGAAATCATGTATCAAAATTCATTCCAAAAATTGTTTGGTTCATTAGGAAACAGAAGTCTTGTTGGAAAAACTACAGAAAGATTCAAAAATAGTTGAAAAAGTTCAGATGCTCGTTAAACAGGATGAAGAAATTGTTGCAGAAGAAGTAAGAATTGTAGAAGATTATGCTCAGGTAAAACTGAATCACAGTGAATGCAGACCATTAGAGATTTGCAAAATTAGTTGCTGACCTCAAATGTAAAGATCAGACTGCTTTTAATAGACTGTCCCAACTACTTATACTTTTTGTTTTATCCCAGCAGATGTTTATTGAGGCCCCAGCCCACACAGGAAACTAGTAAACCAAAGTAGGGAGAGTAAAAGAGCATAAGCCCTATCCTTAGGACATCTGCAATCCCAGGAGACTTTGCAGGTTACCTTGGAACCCTATGGTCCACATTAGAAATACATTTGGCTTCCAAGAAAGGTATCTACACAGAGCCAGGCGACTCGGGGCATTCGACATGTATCACTTCTGTTACTTGCTCTTGAAGCCCTCTGTTGCCCTCGGTCCTTCCCAATTAGAATCCCAGCAGGAGCCAGCATGCGCAGAAAAGAATAAGTTTGCACAACTCTAGTTTGATTAGTAGCCAATCAATCCTGCTCAGAGAAGCAACCACATCAATTGAAATATATAGATAAATCGGGCATGGTGGTGCATGCCTTTGATTCCAGCACTTGGGAAGCAAAGGCAGGTGGATCTCTGTGAGTTCAAGGCCAGCCTGGTCTACATAGTGAGTTCCAGGCCAGCTAGGGATACAGGGAGACCCTGTCTCAAAAAAAAAAAAGAAAAGAAAAAGACATATATAGATATATACACATAATTATTTACAAATTATATACATGAGCCACAATCATTGGCTAATCTCCTAAAGTATAAGGACAATGTTTATTATGAACCATAGTGAATGTGAATACATATTTTAAGTTGTTCTCTGCATAACTTCAAAATGTTTTGGTGGCTTTTTTTCTTTTAGACATGATCTTACTGTGTAGCCCTAGCTGGCTGACCTAGAACTTGTTGTGTCGACCAAGCTGGCCTCTAATTCACAGAGATTCAACTGCCGGCCTCCTGAGTGCTGGGATTAAAGATGTGAGCCACCACACCAGCTGCTGTCTATCTTTTGTACTACAGGTGTTCTGGGTGATATGAAACACATCTCACTGTGGTTTTCATTTCTCATTTCCCTGTAACACTACTTCACAGCTGCTGTGTCCCGTCCCCCACCCCATCCCCACCCCTTTTTAGACCGGGTCTCGCTATGCAGCCTGGCTGGCCTGGAACTCGCTGTGCAGACCAGTCTGGCCTCAAACTTGCCAAACTCTGCCTGCCTCTACCAAGTGTGTATGCCGCGTCTGCCTTCCACGTGTGCCCGTCACCATTTCTGACTTGTCTGACTTCTGGTCAGAGCTGATCAACTCTTCATTGTTTTTAACACGACTGAAGAAGAGTTCATGTCAGGAATAAAGAAGTTTCATTATTAACATTACTATCAACCCTGCTTCTTTTCATTAATCTTTTTAAGCCGCCTTCACATTCTTTCATGTAAATGCATGTATTTAAGGAAGGTAAGTATGGTGAAGCCTGATATGTAATTCTATCTCCAGAAATCCCTATCTCTAGAAAAAAAGTAAGTTCTTTAATCACATTATTAAATTCAAAGTAGTTGTAGAACTTGTCACAGAACAATGGGGCTAAGAAGGGCCCAATCATTCGTTGTCTTTGAGCACTAGGTATTGGAATCATGTGAAAACATGACTCCCTTTTCAATTTACCTTCTAAAAAGTTAGAAGTTTAAATTTGGGGGACGTGTTTTTGGTTATTTTTTGGTTTGGTTTGGTTTGGTTTGGTTTGGTTTGGTTTGGTTTGGTTTATTGAGACAGGGTCTCACTATGTACCCTGACTGGCCTGGAACTCACCATATAGACCAGGCTAGCTTCAAACTCACAGAGGTCTACCTGCCTCTGCCTCCGAGGTACTAGAATTAAATGTGTGTCATTCCTCACCCCACCCCCCATGCTCAGTGCAAGCTTAAATAATTTTTAAGGAAACAGCCTAATCTCCCAACCCTCTCATGATCTTTGTGGAAAACAGAGGAAGTGGCCTGCTCAGTTTTGATAGTTTAAACATTTCTTTCAACGTCAGAACCCATTATTGACAATATCATGAGCATTCTTATGATTATCAAACAGCATCTGCTATGATGGCATTTCAAGTCTTCCTCCCCACCTCACAGTCCCTCTAGGACCTTCGTGTCCTATGCTGATATTTTTTCCATTTCTTTATCCATTCACTTGTTGGCAGGCATCTGAGCTAGCTTCATATCTTGGCTATGAATAGTGCTACAACAAACATGGATGTGCAAGTACCTTTGTGGTATGCTAACTTGGAATTCCTTCAGGTGTGTACCTAGGAGCAGTGTAGCTGGATCACATGGTAGTTGCTAGTCTTTTAGGAATCTCCATTCTGATTTCCATAGTGGCTATGCCAGTGTACAGTCCCACCAGCAATATTTAAGAGTCCTCCCTCTGCCTGTACCTCTCACACCCCCTACCCCAATCTTCTTGATGGCAGCCACCCTGACTGGAGCGAGATGGAATCTCAATGTAATTTTAATTTGCGAGTTCCTGAACCACCTGTGGTTTCTTTAACTAGCAAACCTCGTGCCTCAGCCTCCCAAATACTGGGATCACAGGTGTATGTCAGTATGCCAGACTTGATTATATGATTTATTCTTCTTTGATAATTATATTGTTAAATAAGCCAAGATCCACTTCATTACTTCTAAATTTATTTTTTCTTCTTAATAACTTATTGCTCAGGTATGATGTGAATTTTTTCATTATGATTTGTCCTTCAATATTATAATAACCTCTAGTGATTTTATTATTCAATCACTTTCATTTCATATCCCACAAATCTTTGCCTCAATTTCCTTTTTGTACATGAAATTAAAGGTAATCAATGGGATATTTTTTACAGTGGGCTGGGGAAATGGCATGGGTTAAAAACACTACTCTTTCATAGGACCCAAGTTTGGTTCCTAGCACCCATATCACGCAGCTCACAACTGCCTGTCCATCCACCTCCAAGGGAACCAATACCCCCTGCCTCTGTGGGCATCTGCACATGCATGGTGCACATAATCAAATGTAGGCACACACATACCCATAAATAAAAATAATGAGCAAAGCTTTTTTTAAAAGATACTTTTTGCATTTCTGTATAATGAAACTAATATCTCATTTTTTTCCTTGAAACATTCATGAGCCCACCTCTAACAGAAGCACTCCTCAAAGGCCATCTTTCATACTACATTGAGTCTGAGAGACATGTCCAGAGCCACTGAGAATTTCTGCTTCCCACACACACCTTCTCATCAGCGATTGGAAAACACATTACATTTAGAACAGAATATTTCCCATAGAAGCCTATGTGCACATATCTAAGTGATATAAAATGTGTAACTTAGGAGTACCATGCAAGTGTCAGAACAGGGGCAGGAGAGATGGCTTAGTGGTTAAGAGCACTGACTGCTCTTGCAGAGGCCCCAAGTTCAATTCCCAGTACCCATTTTCTATCAATATATAGAAATTCTAAATGTATAGCTACATGTATTCATATGCATTTTATGTATTATGTTTTCATTGTAGAAAACTACGAATGAGCTGAAAAGTGTGCTGCCAGCTGTAGACAAGGCGATTGTGGCGCTAAATGCCCTGGATAAAGCTGATATTTCTGAATTGAGGTAAGTAATTCAGTAAGTTCTTTTGAGTTGAAAAGACTCCACATAAAACAAAAATGCACAGTAAAAGTCTATACTCCACTTTGAGATTAATTTTTATTCACTTGGTTCCTGTAAATTTTCCTTTATGCATGGTATATACTATATGTTACCAGTTTTAAAATATACTAGTACTCAGGGCTGGAGAGATGGCTCAGTGGTTAAGAGCACTGACTGCTCTTCCAGAAGACCTGGGTTTGGTTCCCAGTATCCACATGGTGGCTAACAACCATCAGTAATTCCAATTCCAATACCCTCTTCTGGCCTCTGTGGGCATTGCTTGCACGTGGTGCACTTATAAACATGCAAGCAAACACTCAGACACATAAAATAAAAATAGTAAATATTTATTTAAAAGCATACTGGAAAGATGGCGCAGCAGCTAAGAACACTGAAAACTTCTGTGTTCGAATCCCAGCACCCACATGGCAGCTAACAACTGACTGTAACTCCAGTCCCGGGGGATCCGACAGCCTCTTCCGACCTCCACCGGCATTGCACAACACAGGTGCACTTACCTACATGCAGGCAATACACACATACACATAAAATAAAAATAATAAATTTTTTTAAAAAAAGCATACCAGTATTGTATGGATCCTTAAGAAAAGAAAAAACATTACTCTATAAAACTACAAGTCATTTGTTATAAACTAAATTTCAGTCTCTGATATATAAAACTGTATGTCCTAGAACAGATGAAGTACAGCATTGTCTGAACTGCAGTTCTAAAGTTAGAACACAATATTTATTTATGACCCAGCACTTAGGCTCATGTAGCTGCCTAGCTCTGTGGTAAGTGGGAACTGGCCAGCGTGGGAGTGCTTCTCCCTGGTGAACGTTCCAACCAATATCCTGGAGTGAAGAGAGGGACTGAAGAGAAATATCCAAGAGACCCCTGGAAGAAATGAAATACTTTAGTGCAGACATGGTGTGCACTTAGCGGGTTTGCTGAATGAATAAGTGAATGCTTAAGAATGAAAGCCTAGGGGCAAGGACATCAAGAATTCACTCTCCTTCTGCTTCTCCGTGCATTTGTTTTCAAAATTAAGTTGATTCACTTGAGCATTGTGACAGGCTCTGTTCTGAAGTTTAGGGTACAAAGACTGGCTCCTTTTAGTTCTGAGTTGAATATTTGGGTGAGATTTTTAACTTGAGCTTTCCAATTCAACAACAATGGAAGTCTGCAAATATCGTATCTCCAAACATGTTGTCTTGTTTTCTATTGTTCTTAGAAGATAGTAATTTTTAAGAGACCTGGAAGTACAAATCTATCATCACATTTATTTGTGTGTGCATGCGTGCTGAGATCACAGGCACATGCCGTGGTGCCCAGTTTTTCGCATAGGTGCTGGGAACCCAAACCCAAGACCCTGCTCCCACAGCCAGGACTTTATGGAACTGAGCCATCTCCCTAGCCTCTACCCCCATCACATTTATAACATATTATTAACTCTTAATGTCACAAAACCTCAGAACAGAGCTGTCACAATGCTGACGTGAATCCACTTAATTTTGAAAACAAACGCACGGAGAAGCAGAAGAAGAGTGAATTCTTGATGTCCTTGCCCGTAGGCTTTCATTCTTAATCATTCACTTATTCATTCAGCCAGCCCGTTAAGTGCACACCATGTGACAGGTCTGTCCTAAGCACTGGGGTCACAGCAGCCAACAGGTGAAGTCAGCCTCTCTGATGAGATGACACTCTAGCAAAGAACTGAGTAATGTTTGGAGAAAGGACAACTTTGCAGCTGTCTGGAGAAACTGTTTGGGGCAAAGGAATGGAAAGCACGAACATCTTAAGATGGAAATGTGCTTGGTGGTTTTCAGGAACTGCGAAAGACCAAGCCGGAGCTCCAGGAGGAAAAGAAAGTGTTAGGACAGGGTGGTGTCAGAAGGGCGTGTATCAGTGGGAACAGAGGCCGGTCTTCCCCAGCACAGCCTCCCACACTACCCATACCTTCTGACTTTGTTCTAGAAAATCCCATTCTCTTAACTTTTGTTCTGGAAGAAAGAAATTGAGGGAGGGGGGAGGAATTGAGCTGTTCTCACTGTAAGGAATTCCTCAATAACCCCCTAATTTCTTTTTTTTCTATTTTTAATTATGTATATATCCATGTTTCTGTGTGTGAGCATGTGCTCATGAGGGGAGGTGCACACTGAGAAGCATTGGATTCCGTGGAGCTAGAGTTGCAGGCAGTTGTGAGCAGCTGCCTGACATGGGTGCTTGGAATCAAACTCTGGTCCTCAGCAAGAGCAGTGTGCACCCTTAACTGCTGAGCCGTCTCTCCAGCCCTCCACCACCAATTTCTGAACGGGATCATCTCAAAGCAGTTAAGCACATGACTGGTGCCACACTTCCTGGGCTGGAGACCTGGCACTGCCACCTTGTAGCTGTGCAGCCTGAACCTGAGCTTCCCCTCTAAGCAGCAGGGACGGCAGGCGTTGAGAGTCTGAGTGGCCTGTCCTAGAAGAGACTCATTGAAAGCGCCTGCTCAGCAAAACTCACTCTAGTGGTGAGAGTTCCCCTTTCCTGCCTTGGAACTGCAGAACCTATGTGGACCAGCCTTGTCCTTGAATACTTTGCCTGTACTTCATTATAATTTTTTTTTGATTGGTCTTTTTGAGAGAGGGTCTCCCTGTAGCCCCAGCTGGCCTGGAACTTGCTATGTAGACCAGGTGTACTTTGTTCTTGTAAAGATTCTCCCTTGTAATACTGCTGCTGTAGATGTGAGCTGGCTTGGGACACAACAGGGAAATAGTTTCCAATGTTCCAGTGATGATTCTGTTACTACTAATATGCCCATCTACTGCCCCCAGTAGTTATATCAGTAACCTTTGTGGTGGGAATTGAAGAAAAGCCATAAGACATGCTTGGCAGTAGTCGGGGGCACTCCTTAAATCACAGGGACAGGGCTGACTTGCAGTTATGTGTGCGCAGGTGCTGTGAGTGCACACACACACACACACACACACACACACACATTTTGTCAAGTGGTCATCTATAATTCCAGTAGAGTTACATAGGAAGTTCCCTAACTTAAAGTGACTTTGTAGTTGGTACTTTTAGAATAAAAGAATTAGCCTTGGCTAGGGGTGGTGGCATACACCTTTAATCCCAGCACTTGGGAGGCCAAGGCAGGCAGGTCTGTGTGAGTTCAAGGCCAGCCTGGTCTACATAGTGAGATCCAGGCCAGCTGGGGCTACAGGGAGACCCTGTCTCAAAAAGATCAAAAAAAATTAAATAAATAATAATTAGCCTCTACTTCGGATGATTTTTGTATTTAAATTTTATGCATTTAATCTTCGAAAAGCAACAATATCCATGTGTTAAAGATACTTAAATTAGGAACTGGAGAGATGGCTCAGTGGTTAAGAGCACTGGCTGCTCTTGCAGAGGACACGAGTTCGATTCCCAGCACCTACATGATGGCTAACAACCATTCATAACTTCAGTTGGAGGGAATCAGACGCCTTCTTCTGACCTCTGCAGACATTGCACAATACAGGTGCTCTTACTTACATGTAGGCAATACACCCATACACATAAAATTAAAAGAATAAATATCTTAAAAAGAAAAATACTTAA